AGTCCTTACAAAAAGACAGTATCCTGGGAGAGGCCGAAGGTCAGAGAAAAAGGGTCATCTTCAAAGGGCTGGACTGACTCAGTGACTCTCATGATCATGCTGGAGATTATGAAGATGCTGCAGAATAGGGCAAGGTCCAGACCTGTTATTTATAGGTTTCTTAGTCATAAGTGACTTGAGGAAATCTACAAATAGTAGCATTTCACTCTATTCTAGGGAGCTGTTCCACCATGCAAACTCAGATAGCCTCAAGTCAGAATGAACTAACAACACTCCCTCTACATGCTCTTCATACTATTCCTTAAGTTTGAAATTTCCTCCCAGGATCAATGGCTTAAATTCTATATATCATTGGGCTGAATTCAAACTATTGTTCCTCCTCCTAAGCACATTTCTCTCTGGGTTCCTTTTACTTTTATCCATACCTCTAGGGGACTCAGGTGGCCTAGGGGTAAGAAGCTGAGTTCCAATCCTAAAGGAATGCAGTTCACCCATCAGCTGCCTTGCAGGAAAAGGATGGGCAATCTCCTCCTGTGCAAATTACTGCCTCTGAAAACTCACTGAAAGGTCGGCTAGGAGTCATGCTCAATTCGACAGGACACAACACAGTGAGTTTTCAAGGAGCAAGGTGCTGTTTGAATCCATCAGCTGGTCTAGAGGAGAGGGGTGTTGATCTATTTCTGTAAAGATTACAGTCTATGAAATCCTTTGGGGGTGCTACTGTCTTATAGGGTCACAATGGGACAAAATGGACTGTTTGCAATGAGTTTTATGCCCTTTTCATCAATTCTATCATGTAATTATTTATCAGGCCCTCTTTGCAGCACTAGAAGATTCTTGAGGCTTTCAGCTTCTCCTTGGTGCTTTGCACATTCTCTGGATTCATTTTAAAAAGGTCAAATTAATGGGTAATTTTTCTTAACTTAATATACTAGATTTAAAATTATACTTTCTGTAGATGAATGGTGCAAAAGCTTTAACAAACTCCAAAGATAATAATGACTTTTTAATTATTATATCCATTAAAAAATTTTAATTCTAAACAGTAATCTTGAAATTTCTCCCCAAGTATACATGTTCTTAAGCTTACGTTTATAATATCCAAACACAGATTAATTCCCAAACTATAATTCTGAATTGGGAATGTAAACCTTCTTTCATTAAATGTTGTTGTTGTTGTTATGTGCCAAGACTGGTGGAAGATCTATCAACAATCTGCATTATGCAGATGACACAAACCTGCTTTTTGAAACTGAGGAGGACCTGAAGTACTTGCTGCAGAGGGTCAAGGACTATAGCCTCCAATATGGTTTGAGGCTCAATGTCAAGAAGACAAAGATTCTTACCACTGGACCAATTGGCAGCATCAGGATGGATGGTGAAGAGATTGAGATTGTTCACAGCTTTAGTTTGCTTGGCCCCATGGTCAACACTCTTGGCACCAGCAGCCAGGAAATAAAAAGATGTATTGCGATGGGAAAGTCTGCTGTTAGGGACCTCTCCGAAGTACTGAAGAGCAATGGTTGTCTCTCTGGAGGCTCAGGTGCCTCTGATACAGGCCATGGTCTTTGCTATCACTTGTTATGCATCAGAGAGTTGGACAATGTCTAAGGAGGACAGAAGGAGAATTGATGCTTTGTGCTGCGGTTACTGGATAAGAGTATTGAGGGTACCATGGACTGCTAGGAAAACAAACAGATTCATCCTGGAAAGGGTCAAACCAGGCGGCTCCTTGGAGGCAAGGATTCTGAGGCTCTGTCTGACATACTTTGGACATGTTATAAGGAGGGACCGGTCCTTGGAGAGGGACATCATGCTTGGGAGGGTGGAGGAACAGCGCAGGAGGGGAAGGCCCTCTATGAGGTGGACTGATTCAGTGACTGGGGCAAGTGAGAGACATTGCGACTGGCACTAGACAGAGCAGAGTTTAGGGCTGTTGTACACAGGGTCGCTATGAGTCACAAGCGATTCAATGGCACATAACAACAACAACAACACAAAGGCACTGGACCATGTAGATCACAACAAACTATGATTAATATTGAGAAGAATGGGAATCTCAGGACACTTAATTATGCTCATAAACTGTATCTATACCAAAAGTAATTCGCTGATACAGAAGAATTTCAAGAAACAACATATGATCAAGAGGCAATGGTGATAAAGGATGAAGTTCAGGTTGCTCTGAAGGACCTGGCAAAAAATAAAGCCCCCAAAATTGATGGAATACCAACTGACATATTTCAACAGAAAGATGCTGCCTCAGGTTGTGCTAAAAATCTGGAGGACAAGGACCTGGCCAGATGACTTGAAGAAATCCAGATTTATTCCCATTCCAAAAAAAGAGTACTGGACAGAGTGTGGAAATTATCGAACAACATCACAAATATCACAAACAAGCAAAACCCTGCTGAAGAGTATCCAGAAACGACTGGAAGAGTACACTGACAGAGAACTACCCAAAATACAAGCTGGGTTTAGAAGACGTTGTGGTACTCGAGACACTATTGGATGGACCTTGGCAGAAAGCAAAAGTACGAAAGGAATGTCTATCTATGTATTATTGGCTATGCAAAGGCATTTGACTGTGTAAATCACAACAAATTATGGCTAACCTTGAGGAGAATGGGGATCCCTGAACACTTGATTGTGCTTATGTGAAGCTTACACTTGGACCAGGAAGCAGGCCTCAGAATAGAGCAGGGAACCACTGCTTGGTTCAGAATCGGGAAAGAAGTGTGTCAGGGAGGTGTTTTGTCTCCATACCTTTTCAATATAAAAGCGGAACAGATCATCCAGGAGGCTGGGCTTTATGAGGAGGAATGTGGCATCAGGACTGGAGGTAGGCTCATCAACAACCTACATTATGCAGATGACACAACCTTGCTTGCTTGAAACTGATGACGACCTGAAGTGCTTGATGCAGAAGGTCAAGGATTGTGGATTAAAGCTCAACAGCAAGAAGACAAAGATTCTCACCACTGGGCCAGATGGCAGCACCATGATAGATGGAGAAGAGATTGAGGTTGTTAACAATTAACAGCTTGCTCAGCTCCACAATCAACACTCTTGGCACCCACAGTCAGGAAATCAAAAGATAAACTGCACTGGAAAAATCTACTGTCAGGAACCTTTCCAGAGCAATGATATCAGTCTAGGGACTAAGGTGCACCTGATCCCGGCCATGGTCTTCACAATTACTTGCTATGCATCAGAGAGCTGGACAATGACTAAGGATGACAGAAGAATTGACACCTTTGAGTTGTGGTGCTGGAGAAGAGTCTTGAACATACCACAGACTGCCAAGAAAGCAAATCTGTATTGCAGAGGATGAAACCAGTTTCTCCTTGGAGGCTAGAATTATGAAGCTCTGTCCCATATATTTTGGGCATGTGTCCTTGGGGAAGGACCTTGTGCTAGGAAGGGTGGAGGGACATTGCAGGAGAGGAAGACCCTGGATAAGATGAATTGATAAAGTAACTGGGGTAATGGGTGTAGATGTGTTGGAGTTAGTAAGACTGGCTCAGAACAGGGCAGGCTTCAGCTCTGTTGTACACCGGATTGCTATGAGTCACAGGTGACTTGATGGCACATAACAAGACCAAAAAGCAGCTGTCTAAATGGAACAAGGGAATGTTGTATGGTTTAAAATCAGTAAGAGTGCATGAGGGTTGTATCCTTTCTCCATACCTATTCAGTCTTAATGGTGAGCAAATAATTCATGACATTGGACTTTATGAAGAAGAGTGGGGCAAAAGGATAGGAGAAAGACTCAGCAACAGTTATGTTATGCAGATGACACAACTTTGCTTGCTCAAAGTGAGGAGGACCTGAAGCATGTGCTTCAAAAGATCAAAGAATACAGCCTTCAATATGGATTGCATCTCAATATCAAGAAACAAAAGTCCTTACCACTGGTTCAGTAGCATCTGTTATGAGTAACAGATGGAGAAGGAATTGAAACTGTCAAGGACTTCATCTTATTTGGATCCACAATCAGTACCCTTGGTAACAGCAGTCAGGAGATTACTTTGGACAAACTGTCAGGAACTTCTCCAAAATATTAAAAAGCAACGATGTCAGTTTGAAGAATAAGGTGCATGGTCTTTTAAATCACTTGTTATGCATACAAGAGCTGGACAATGAGTAAGAATGGAAGACGAGAAGGGAGCTCTGGTGGCCTAGTGGCAAGAAATTGTACTGCAATCCTGAAAGCACATGGTTTGAATCCACCAGATGCGCTGCTGGAGAAGGAGGGGAAATCAACGAGTAAAAGAAAAAAGTTCGTTAGGAAGCAGTGCTGCAGTCCTGAAGACTGAAAGAAGAATTGATGCTTTTGAGCTGTGGCATTGGAGAAGAGTACAGAATTTCCCACACAATGTCAAAAGAATAAACTATGTCATAGGAAAGGGGCAGCCAGGGTACTCCTTGGAAGCAAAGACAGCAAAGCTTTTATCTCTCATACTGCGGACATATCGCTAGAAGAGGCTATTCCCTGTAAAGGGATATCATGCTTGGAGAGGTGGATGGTCACTGAAAGAAAGACTCTCAATAAGACAGAGCGACACAGTGACTATAGCAGTGAGCTCAAGAATATCAGAAGTGGTGGGGATGGCATAAGGTAGGACAGGGTTCAGATCACAGGGTCACTTTGAGTCAAACTTGATTCAACGGCACCCAACAACATTCTAAGAACAATTTTAAGTACTATATGTATTAACTCACTGAATCCTCATACTATTATTATGTAGGTTCACTAGTTTCGTTTTGTAAATGAAACAACCAAAACACAGAAGGTTTGGTAACTTGCCCTATGTTACTCAACCAGTTAAGGAGCACAGTCAGAATTCAACCATAGCCTCCAGAGCTCACTATTACCCACCATTAAACGACCAGAATAATCCACAAATAACACAACAAGCAGGCTATCAGCACCTTCTTGTAATACTATGATTTTTACCATCTGATCCTTCAAGTCTAAGAGTTCTTCAATAACTTACCAAACGCCACAGTCCAGCAGTCTCTCTTGTTTTCGCCTTGTATGGGTTCCATGTTAGCAACAGGATCATCTTTTTGCCTTGGGTCCCACACCTTGACAGTTCCTGTCATGAATGAAATGAATGGGAAAAATGGAATCGGAAAAGCTCATGTTGTCTTTTCTGAACCCTGTTCCCAAGATTTCTTTGCTCAACAAAATACTGTAGATGTTATGATACCTGGAAAAAAATGTACATTTTTCTATTGCTGTTGAGTCAAGTACGACTCATAGTGATCCTGTGAACAAAAGACCTGAAGCCTTTCTATAACTACTGTCATTTCTCCAAGTTCACCGAGTTTTCAGAAGCATGTGGTTTAGGCAGTGAATGCCACTCCTGCTTCCAAACCTGTCTTAAACTGGGAGCTGCACCAAACACCGTCCATCATGAGCAACCGTTAAGGCATTTGACACCCCACAGGCACAAGGTTCAGCATCACAGCAAACCCAGATTATCTCAGTACAGCAAATTGACAGAAGAGTGCTGTACCACTTAGAGGAATGTTCCTCTAAAATATAGTAACATAAATCCCTCAGGCCCAACTAAATTTTAAATATAAGGGCCTTGCAAGAGGTCTTGTTGATTCTAAACAAGAGGCTTAATCAAAACCAACCAAATATCCCACAGGACCCTCCACCAAATCAAGAGCGCCCCTCTTACGAGTCCAGCCAAGTCACCAGTCTCCAAAAGGGAGACGAGGCGCTCACCTTAAATTAGGTTCCATTTTAATTGGGAAATCATATTTAATATCAGGAAATAATCCATATGTTGCTGTATAACTTGATTTTCAAATTAATGGATAGATGGAATAGTCAATATGCTACTCCTAAATTCTCCCCAGCATGACTGACAAGGCAAATACCATGTCACTCAAATAATCTTTTATTTTCTTTAAGCATAAAACTAATTTATTATTCAGTCTGTTGACAACAATATTAGTGTCATTTTATATATTCCTTTACCATTTATATAAGGACTGGTGTATACAAATAAACGACTTATGGTTGTTTATATGCGGATTTACGACATTATTTCACATATAATAAAGTTTCTTTTCCTTGTAGCAACAGAGAATTGGAAACTAAGTAAAATCAGCAAACAACTTATTCTCAATTTAGTTTCAAATCCTTCATTTTAATTCCAATTACCAGACTACTAGCCCAATGGTGCCACTGATCAAGAAGAAATAGTTACAAGAAAATTGCTAAAAATCAACCGCTTGGAAGAGACTAGGAAAAGCACAAAATGTTCTTAAGGATAATGAATTCAGGGAAAGGAGATGTTTCACTAGATTTAGCTCTAAGAATAAGATTAAGATGGTTGCTTTAAAAAAGCTGCTTTATGATTTATATGCACTGGTAAGGGATAATACTAAGTTTGTAACAGTTTAAGGAATAAAAATTCCTAATAAACTGCACATAAAAAGTTAACTAGGAAATCAATAGAGAAAGAAGTTAACACAAGTTGGAACAGAGAAGCTTTTTTATTGATAAAATTAGGGAGAAATTAAAAAAGATAATCAATGATAGGACAGACTGAGAATGGTATTCCTGTCCTTTAAAAGGCAGTGGCTGTACAAGTTGAGGGGCTGAGGGGTGTGGGAAATTGGAAAAAACTGTTCTGGAAAACAATGTATTTGAATTTTGTAAATGAACTAGTGTAATTAAAAAAAAGGCTATAGGAAAGCTCTGATAATACATCTTAAGAATTATATTCATTCCAAGAGAGCCACATATGCGACAATACTTACTTTTTCATTATTTTTAAGTTATTTTCTCAAAACATTTAAACTGAATGCTTCCTAAAAATTCAATTATACATGTTGTGATAGATCCGTGAAAGAATATTAGCTATCAAAATACTTATGGAAACTATTACCTATAACATTAAAATTAAAAAGATACAAAGTCATATTAACATTGATAATTACTATGAAAAACTGGAAAGGAACAGTCATAATGGTTGTGCAAATATGCCTGAGATGGACTTCTTTTCCCCTTCTATATTCCATATGGATTTTATAATGACTAAAACACACCTGATTTCTTAAACACAATCTACATAAAATGACATTCTTCTTTTAACTTTTAAAACCATCTCAAGCAGCTATTATAAAAACTAGTCAAATCAACTACAGCAACATAAAATTGTGACTGTTATGACAGTCACTCAGAATAGCTGGACGTCAAGACCTCTCCTTCGTCAGCTGCCTCAAGGGCCTTGGATTACCTGACAGTGATCAGCAGAACAGAGAACGTCATATTTTCAACCAGCTGTCAATCTGATCATTCTCACAAGTACTAATTCTGCCTTTTAGGAAAAAAAAGAAAGACAGCCTCCCACAGCATATCATCAGCTCCCCAGAAATCAATAAAGAATTTTTAAAGTATTCAAGATTTATAGGAAACTACAGTTCCTGGTTGAACTTGTTCAAAATGGTAATATTAAGTTTGATACAACTTGATCTCAAAATATCCCAGTCTGAAACTTTATTTGGTTGTGCATCCGACTTGCCAATTAAAACCAGAAACAACAATGTCAGATTAGAGAGGCAAGGTGACCAAGGAGAATTTCTACAGAAAGGTTTCCTATTAAAAAGAAAAAGAAGAGCTATTATCTTAAACTACAGTACAGTAGTATCGAAAAGAAAATCTCCCCACACCCAAGAAAACAGGAACAAGAAAGAAAAAATTTACAGACTATTCTGACTCACCATCTCGGCTGCCGGTCACAATTTCAGGTGCTCCTTCTCCAATTCCAAGCCCACCTACACCATCTACTGTATTTATAATTTCTCGATGGCCCTTTACAGAATACACTGGGATCTCAGGAGCTTCCAAATTCCTAAACAACAGAAAGATTTTCTTTCTTACAACACATGCCCCAACATTTAAGTCTGTTAATAAAATTTAAGAACACATTATTATGTTTAGACTTTTATTTAAAAAGAAGAGCTTTGCTGTGAGGGTAATTTAGGTACCTACTTTAAATGTTTTTTTCTCTACTTCAGCCTCTTTTAAGCTCCGATGAGAAATGCTATCATTCAGCTTGGAATTCTAACTCTTGACCCCACTCAGAGTCTTTCAAAGACTAGGTGTGCCTGTAGATAAATAGTCTATAGACTCAAATGATTCATGGGCTCAGACGTAACGAATTAGCATTTCTATGGTCTGCTGATTTCACTGGTACCCTGAAGCCTGACAGCCACTGCTTTAAATAGAAAATTCACTCAAAGAAATTTCAGATGTTTCCATGCTGGAATCAGCGAACTCTTCAGGTAGTTGTTGTTGTTAGGTGTTGTCAAATTGATTACAACTCATAGCAGATCTGAACCCTGTCCTATCCTGTGACAACCTCACAATCTCAGACACATCAAGCCCACTGCTGCAGTCACTGTGTCAATTCACCTGACTGAGGGTCTCATTCTCTCCTTCACTGCCTCTCGACCTATCTAAGCATTACATCCCTCTCTAAGGAATAACCAACCTCTCCTAGAAACATGCCCAAAGTATGTGAAATGAAGTTTTACCATGTTTGCCCCCAAGGAGCACCCTGGTTGCATTTCCTCCAAGACAGAATTATTTGTTCTTTTGGCAGTTCAGTTTGGCAGTGAGGGAGCCCTGGAGTTCTCGTGGTAAGAAACTACACTGCAATCCTGAAGGCGCTCCGCTCAAATCTAGCAGCTGCTCTGTGGGAGAAAGATGGGCAATCTCCTCCTGTGTGATTAACAGCCTCTGAGAACCCACTGGAGGGTCAGCTATGGGCTGGCTCCAACTTAATGGTACTCAACAACAATGGATATTTAGTGCTCTTCTTCAACACCGTAACTCAAAGGCATCAACTCTTCTGTCATCCTTATTCACTGTCCAGCTCTCAGATACAGAGCCAGTGAATGAAAAGTCCATGGCCTGAGAATCAGGTACACCTTAGGAGTTCCCAAAGTAATATTATTGTTCCTCAATAAGAGAGGTCCCTGACTACACTTTCCCAGTGCAATATATTTCAATCTTTTCCCCATCTATCATGACATTCCCAATTGGTCCAGTGGCAAGGATTTTTGTTTCTTTGATGATGAAAAGCAATCTATATGGAAGGCTGCATTGTTTAACCTTCCATGCTGGAATCAGAGACTCCTTCAGATATGTGGTATATTCTTTTGGGTTTCTTGTTCTCGCTCCTTTCCCTAGACTGAAGACTCTGTTAGCTAGATGTTGGAATTTCTAATTAGAATTTATCATTATTATGTAGTCAGAACCGAATCAATGCTGGTCCTTTAGTTGAGTTCAGAGGCTGCAGGAGGAGTTTATACATCTCTCTTCTATGGTGCTGCTGTTGGATTCAAACCACCTGCTTTTTGGCTGGCAGTGCACCCATCACCTTACCCAATGCCATGAGAATTCTAATTTTAATAAATGCTAAGTTAAAACAATTAAACAAAACAGCTTTATACTTTTAAATGTATTCAGAGAACAAAATCAGAGAAATACATCAACAAATAATTCTCACATTTCCATGAAGCACTAAAATGGAATGGGAAGCATTTTAAAATGAGAGTTTTCTCAGAGGAAAAGTCATAAAAATATCAAAGAATGCTCTGATCTCATCTGTCTAAACACTGATTAAATCATCTTACCATACATGAAGGTTTCCACCAAAGTCTCCAGTAGCTAAGTATCTCTGCTGTAAAGACGCTGCACCGAATGTTCCACATTTAATGGGCTTGGCCTTCTCAATCTTGACAGAAAGGGAGAGGATACAGATTTGTATAAGCAGCTATTTATAGTCCATAATATTTAGGCATCCCTTAGAAGTTTAAATAAGGCATGGAATATCAAAGGCAACTAGAATGTTTTCTGATAAAAATGGCATTTTCTCTGGTCATGCTTTCCTTTCATTGAAAAGTTTATAAACATCAGAATGAAAGTTTTCAATGGAGGCTATTTACTTTTCAAGTATGAGGCTATTTACTTTTCTCTTTCTCCTAAATGGAACATTCAGATGCTAACAACTCTTCTCTCTGATGATTTGCAAATAAGAAAATGTCCCCATTTAATACAGCATTCTTCTGGGAGTCTCAGCAGAAATAGAAAAGTAAATAAGGTATTATGCAGTTATTTTTGGAAAGGTGTTATTATTCTTTTTGAAAGAACCTAGTTTGTACCTTCCTGAAGAACCTTATAAAGAGAAAGGCATTTTATATCTCATTTTCTCCAGAGATTTTTATCTCCCTGTTCGGCACAGAAAGAAGCCCGGGTGGTGCAGTGCAGTACTATGCTGCGAACCCAGAGGCCTCTGCTGGAATTGACCAGTCACTGTGCTGGAGAAGGTTAACAGCCTCTCCCCAGGAAGATTTATAGCCTCCAAAACCCGACACAGGGTCATCTGGAGACACAGGGTCACCTGGAGACAAGGGGTCACCAGGAGACACAGGGTCACCGGGAGACACAGGGTCACCAGGGGCGGGAGCTCATCCTGCAGCTGGGGATTTTTAGGGTTAGGCCAGCCAAACAGGAGCTCTGATGGTGCTGTGGTAAAATCCGCAGAGAACAACCACAGCAGGATATCTGTAACCCTTTTGTTCCTAGATCAATCTTTATTCTTCCCACTAGGAGTAGTTTGTTTCATGTATTTTAAAATAATTTCCCTGACACTTTACCTTCTTGGCAGAGCACTTACACACAGGGTACATACAGCTGTTTTAAAGAAAAAATAGCATTCACTGAACACTGAAACGGTAGCCCAACTCTCTTTGTCATAAACGGAAAGATAATCACTATACAGTAAAAACTCATTCACTGTGGTTGACCGACTCACAGTAATCCTCTGGCATGTTTTCCAAGGCAGTAAGTCACCAAAGGTAAAAAAAAGTTAGAAACAACAAGAAGAAACACTCCTGTAATAACTGTCTTGAGAGAGAGAAACAATCCTATAGAGCTGGGTCTAAAATCAAGCACTTCTACCCTCTAATTGTTTAGCCAACAAAATCAGTCATCTGTAATATGCACAGGAAACACCAAGTTTCCTTTTTCTTTTCAAAGTACAGGTGATGTGGCATATTAGTACTCACTCCAAACAGTCAACTAGTACTTGATTCAGAAGATGAACATTTTTGTCATTAAACAGAAGTTTCCAATTTTACTTATGTCTGTCCTGTACTCTCCCTCTTGAGTAAAAAAGCACCAGCATCTGAAATACTCTACCAGCAGCAGTACTCCTAGTCATCATTAGGGCATAATTGCTAGGGTTCAAGTAATTTCGAACCCCAACTTTGTCCAACTGATGAAACTGTTCCTCCTTAGCACCATTTGCCCTCCTGAGTCTGTGTATCCCCTAGGTCTAGGCATTGATGACAACTTTTATACCTTGAGGCGGAAAAGTAAAAACAAGTCTTTTAGGAAAGAAGCAGGCTGGCAAAAATACAGTTCCTAGAGATGGTGAGAGCCTTGCATCATCTATCGGACATAACCATCTGGAAAATTTGACTCTAAGAGGCACTGAGAAGACTGGTGGCCCATTTTTTTCTCTTCTGCCAGCAGCTGAGAGGAAAAGTCAGGGGTCAGGATGAAGGTGAGAGAAAATTTAAGTTTATTAGAAAAGATGGTGTCTCTCTGGAGACTAAGGTGCCATCTGATACAGGCTATGGTCTTCGCAATCACTTGTTATGCATCAGAGAGTTGGACAATGACCAAGGAGGATAGAAGGAGAATTGATGCTTTTGAGCTGTGGTGCTGGAGAAGAGTACTGACAATACCATAGACTGCTAGGAAAACAAACAGATTTGTCCTGGAAAGGGTTAAACCGGGTGGCTCCTTGGAGGCAAGGATTCTGAGGCTCCGTCTAACATACTTTGGACATGTTGTGAGGAGAGACCGGTCCTTGGAGAGTGACATCATGCTTGGGAGGGTGGAGGGATGGCGCAGGGGAGGAAGGCCCTCTATGAGGTGGACTGATTCAGTGACTGGGATAATTGGGATGGGAGTGTCAGAGACAGTGCGATTGGCACAGGACAGAGCGGAGTTTAGGGCCGTTGTACATAGGGTCGCTATGAGTTGCAAGCGACTCGACGGCACATAACAACAATTCTTTTTTTGTCTTTGTCCATGATTATGTTTATTAGGGAAGTTAAAAGCACCTAATCCAGGCTGGTAGCGGTACACACACACACAGAGTCAGGACAGCTTCTGAATGTGCTTGCAGTGCTAAGCCATTGTCACAAAGCTCTTTGTCTTTTTTTTTTACGGTGTCTCTCCACAAGTCCTCAAACAAACGTGGGTGAAGCTCCTAAGTCTGGCTGCATGGGGTAGCAGTTGCAAAGTCAGCTGTCTCCAAATTGCTCTGGTGGGTGGTCTATTGGCAAGAAGCTGCGATGTGATCCCAAAGACCACCAACGAACTATGGGAGGAGGACGGGCAATCTCCTCCTGCCTCTGAAAACCCACCGGAGGGACAGCTATGGGTCAGTTCCAACTCTACGGTACATAACAACAAACAACAACGGTGTTGCACTGATAGACAAAAATCAATTTTGAGTTCTATCCTGAAGTACAATGTTGTGATAGGATATTAACCACACACATACTAGGAAGATCTGTTAATATGACTACTGTGCAAATTATATGCTCCTACAGCGAAAGCCAAAGAGAAGGAAATGGAAAATGTTTACCAACTCCTGCAGTCTGAAGCTGACCAAACATGCAATCAAGATGGTAACAGGTGGCTCTCGGGTGGATGCTGCTGTGTCAGCACGCAGGAGCCTGGGTTCGAACTCGAAATAAACTTTGTTAATTCGGGAAAAGAAAAAAAAAAGATGGTAACAGGTGACTGAAATGCAAAAGTCAAAAACAATGATGAAGGAATAGTAATCAGAAAATACGGACTTGGTGGCAGAAACGAGACTGGAAATGGGATGATCAAATTTTTTATGTTCAATGGTTTATTGCAAATACTTTTAAAAACCACAAATGGTGACTTTACACATGGACTCACATCTGTGAAAGAAATCACTGGAGAAGCTTATTATCAGTGATCAAAACTAGACTAGAAGTGAACTATGGGTCAGACCATCAATTACTCATGTGCAAGTTTAAATTGAGGCCAAAGAAAATAAAAACAAGTCTGTGAAAACCAAAAAATGATCTTGAGTCTATTCCCCCTGAATTTCAAAATTATCTTAAAAACAAGTTTGAAGCATTGAACACTAATGATCGAAGACAAGATGAGTTGAGGGATGGCATCAAGGATATAAACCACGAAGAGAACAAAGGGTTAATTAATAAAGACAGAGGAGAAAGAAAAAAACCAAAAATGGATGTCAGAAGAAAGTCTGAAAACTGCACTAGAATATGAAGAAGCCAAAACAAAGGGGAAATATGCTGAGGTAAAAGTTCTGAACAGAAGATTTCAAAGGGCAGCTCGAGAAGACAGAGTATTATAAAGGAATGTGCAGAGAGCTGGAATTGGAGAATAAAAAAAGAAGACCTCACTCTGCATTTCTCAAGCTGTGAGAACTGAAATACAAATTTAAGCCTCAAGCTGCAATACTGAAAGATGTTTGGACAATATGCTGAATGATGCAGGAAGCATTAAAAGAACATGGAGGGATTGAATACACAGTCACTGTACCCAAAAGAATTGACTGGAACTGACAAATTCAGGAAGTACCATAAAAGCAGGAGCCAATGGTAATGAAGGAGGAAATTGAAGATACATTAAGACCTTCAACACAGTCGCAGTGACTGCCGCAATGTGTGTAAATGTGTCGAAGATGACGAGGATGGCACAGGATAGGTCAGGATTCAGATATGTAGTTCACAGGGACACAATGAGTTGGCTTGAAGGCATCTAACAACATCAACGACAACACAGAGGTACCTACAGTCTGTAGGGAGCTGTGCCTCCAGATCTAAGGTGATGTCACTCTAGCAATTTAAATTCACTACAGGCTCGAGACAAAGACAGGCAATCTCCTCCTATATGACTTACAGCCTCTGACAATCTGGTGGAGGGTCTGTTATGAGTCACATTTGACTCCCAGGCAGTGAAGTGTAACTGTGAAGATAGTAAACTGCCCAGTAGAGGTTTCCAAGGCTCTCCATGTTTGCAGACACTGCCTGCCACACCTTTCCCCTTAAGAGTTCCAAGTGGATTGTGCAGCCTACTTCTTCATGCAACCAGGGTTCTTTCAGAAGTGATGGAAGACTAAATGCTAACATTCTCTTTTCAGTCCAATGGTATGCACTGAATTCTTAGTGGATTTTTGAGGTTCTATTGTTGGCAATAATAAATCAGAAGCAAAGAATCTAAATTTATCTGAATCCACAATCAACATTAATGGTAACAGCAGTAAAAAAAATTAAAGGCCACATTGGATTGGGAAAATCTGCTGTCAAAGATCTCTCTAAAAAAGAGCACAGAAGTCAGTTTAAAATCTAAGCCTGATCTAAGCCATGGTATTTTCAAAGCTGGACAAGGAATAAGACCAAAGAACTGATGCTTTTGAACTGTTGTGTCAGGTAATGAGTACTGAATACATCGACTTTCGAAAGAACAAACACATATGTGCAACCAGGGTGCCCTTTAGATGCAGGGATGGTGAAATTTTGTCTCACTACTGAGCATACTGTCAGAAGGCGCCAGTTCTTGGAAAAAGTCATCATGCTGGTAAAGGCGGAGGCTCAACGATGGAGAAGGCGGCCCTCAATTAGATGGAATGGCACAGTTGCCTGGAAAAGGCTT